CTTTGAGTCGCCCTCCTCTGGACACATCCCAGCCTGTCAATATCTCCCTTCAATTGTGGTGCCCAGAAATGGACACAATATTCCAATTGTGTGGTATATTGCCTATTGATACTTACATGACGATTCGTAATAGTAGGAAAATGACAGTTATGCAGTCGCAACTAAAACAATGTTATGGTTGCGGGTTGCCACAACATGAGGAACAGTATTAAGGGGTCGCGGCATTAGGAAAGTTGAGAACCACTGCCCTAAGGAGACAAGCACACACCCCTCGATCACTAAAGAATAACCTTATTTGCACAAGCCCTTTGTGCAAACAGATGGCTGCTTTTCTTTCCATTGCACCAGCTTCCCCTCCCTCTGCAATATAGCCATAATTCTCATTTATGGCGGCCAATGCAGACCTGGAACCAATGGTGACTAAGGCGAAAGGACAAAGTCCCTGCCAGAAAAAGTACCTGATAGAAGGTGGATTCCCCCCCCCCCCGCCCCCTTTTGTCCTTTCCTCTGTCCCTGGCACAGTGAAATGAAAAGAATTGATTTTGTCATTTGGGAGTTGTAGTTGCTGGGATTTATACTCCACCTACAACCCAAGAGCATTCAGAACGCCACCAATGATGGAATTGAACCAAACTTGGCACACAGTTCTCCCATGACCAACAGAAAATAGTGGAAGGGTTTGGTGGGCAGTGTCCTTTGGTTTTGGAGTTGTAATTCATCTACATCCAGAGATCACTGTGGACTAAAACAATGATGGATCTGGACCAAACTCTACACGAATACTCAATATGCCCCAATGTGAACACTGGTGGAGTTTGGGGGAAATAAAATCTTTACATTTGGGAGTTGTAGTTGCTGGGATTTATAGTTCACCTACAATCACAGAGAATTCTGAACCCCACCAATGATAGAATTGGGCCAAACCTCCCACACAGAACCCCCAAGTGGGCCACAGCAACGCGTGGCAGGGGACAGCTAGTATATTATATTATTAGCATAGTACAATATTAGTATTATTGTAATATTATTATATTGTAATATTATTAGTAATATAAAATACTTAATTATAATATCTTATTATTAGTAGTATTATATTATATTACATTACAATATTATAAATATTAGATGTATATACAATATATTATATTATTTGCACAGCACCTAAATATATTGTACTATACCATTATATTGCAATATTATCAGTAATATAAAATACTTAATTGTAATATCATATTATTAGTAGTATTATATTACATTATAATATTATAAATATTATATGTATATACAATATATTATATTATTTGCACAGCACCTAAATATATTGTACTATACCATTATATTGTAATATTATTAGTAATATAAAATACTTAATTATAATATCTTATTAGTAGCAGTATATTATATTATATTATATTACATTATAATATTAAAAATATTATATGTATATACAATATATTATATTATATTATATTATATTATTAGCACTGCACATAAATATATTGTACTATACCATTATATTGTAATATTATTAGTAATACAAAATACTTAATAATATCTTATTATTAGTAGTATATTATATTACATTATAAATATTATATGTATATACAATATATTATATTATTAGCACAGCATAGAAATAAACATATTGCACTATACCATTATATTGTAATATTATTAGTGATATAAAATACTTTATTATAATATCATATCATTTTAGTATATGACATTATAATATTATAAATATTATATGTATATACAATATATTGTATTATATTATTATCATAGCACATAAATATATTGTACTATACCATTATATTAGTATTCTATTATATTACATTATAATATAAATATTATATGTATATACAATATATTATATTATTATATTATTAGGATAGCACATAAATATATTGTACTATACCATTATATTTTAATATTTTAGTAATATAAAATACTTATATCTTATTATTAGTAGTATTATATTATATTACATTATAATATTATAAATATTATATTATATACAATATGTTATATTGTATTATTAGCACAGCACATAAATAAATGTATTGTAATATTATAAGTAATATAAGATCCTTAATTATAATATCTTATTATTAGTAGTATTATATTATATTACATTATAATATTACAAATATTAGATGTATATACAATATATATTATTAGAATATTACATAAATAAATATATATATAAATAAACCTAAATAAATAAATGCATAAATAAATACATACCAATAAAATTATAAATATATGTATATACAATATATTATATTATATTATTAGCATAGCAAATAAATATATATATAAATAAACATAAATAAATACATACATACCAATAAAAGAAAGGGGCCAAGCCTCAAACCCTTGCCATTACCACCTCAAGCCCTCCCACTCTCAATCAGGTGGGCTAATTGTGCCCCCCAAAGGCCCCCTCCCCTCTCTTACCTGCCCCACACCTGGACTGATGAGGAAAGCCCTGCTTCCCTGCCTTTCTGCCCAAGCAACTCCTTGGACTTCCGGGTATAGTCAGCACGCATGCGCACACCCACCCAGCTGGTTCCCTCCTTCTCTCTCCCTCACGACTTCAACTCCCAGAAGCCTCTGCTGCCTTGACCAATGATTAAGGATTCTGGGAAATTGAGTCCAAAAAACCCTGGAAGGCCAGAGTTTGGAAAACATTGCTCTGTTCTGTCGAATGAATGCAGTTTGAACTCATATCATTGAGCTAAAGTGGGGTCAAAACTGCATTAAAGTCAGCAGCCACATTGCACACTTATTGCACTTTGATCCCGCTTTAACTCTCATTCAAAGGAATGCAGGAAGCTATAGTTTGGAGGAAGGAGCCCCCGGTGGCGCAGTGGGTTAAAGCACTGAGCTGCTGAGCTTGTTGATCGAAAGGTCGCAGGTTCGATTCCAAGGAGCGGCGTGAGCTTCCGCTGTCAGCCCTAGCTTCTGCCAACCTAGCAGTTTGAAAACATGCAAATGTGAGTAGATCAATAGGTACCGCTCCGGCGGGAAGGTAAGGGCGCTCCATGCAGTCATGCCGGCCACATGACCTTGGAGGTGTCTATGGACAACGCCGGCTGGCTCTTCGGCTTAGAAATGGAGATGAACACCACACCCCAGAGTCAGACATGACTGGACTTAATGTCAGGGGACAACCTTTACCTTTACCTTATAGTTTGGGGGTTAGCATGGTTAGCATGGGATTGCCTGTCAGGAAGTTCTAGTTCAACCAAGATAGCCTTTGGGTGCATCTGCACTGCAGAATTAATGCAGTTTGGTACCGCTTAAAGAATCTGCGAACCCCACCTCCTCCAAGATGAACTGAACCACCTCAACTGGGCTCTACAGGCCAAGGGAGACTCCACCTCAGAAATCAGAAGAGCGGCAAGACAACCAAGAAGAAGCCACAAGAGTCAAGACAAAAAACCACCCAGAGGAAAAGTGTTCCTGCCAGACATCAAGGGAACCACTGACCGCAGAGGGAAGCTGATGAGGAAACACAACATACACACTATCTACAGACCCACCAAGAAAATCCAACAAATGCTACGTTCAGCAAAGGACAAGAGGGATCCTCTCACCTCTGCAGGAGTCTACCGTATACCATGCAGCTGTGGAGAAGTCTACAGAGGGACCACCAAACGCAGCATTGCCCAAACACGAATCAAGGAACATGAAAGGCACTGCAGACTAACTCAACCAGAGAAGTCAGCCATGGCAGAGCACCTGATGAACCAGCCTGGACACAGCATATTATTTGAGAACACAGAAATGCTGGACCACACCAACAACCACCATGTCAGACTACACAGAGAAGCCACTGGAATACACAAGCATGTGGACAATTTCAACAGAAAGGAAGAGACCACGAAAATGAACAAAATCTGGCTACCAGTATTAAAAAACTCTAAAATTACAACAGCAAAACAGCAGAGAGGAAACAACCAGGCACATCTTAACACCTCTCAACAAAAGATTTTCCCAGGCTCAGGCAGGCCTTCAAATGCTAATGAAGGTGGTCAGTTGAAACATGCACACCTAGCTCCAGCAGAGAAGAGCTCTTTGCCCAGCCATTCCACAGATATATAAACCCAATGTCCTAATTCCAACAGACCTCACTACCTCTGAGGATGCTTGCCATAGATGCAGGTGAAACGTCAGGAGAGAATGCCTCTAGAACATGGCCCTATAGCACGGAAAAACCCACAAGAGCCTAGTGATTCCAGCCATGAAAGCCTTCGACAATACATTTCACATAATTTCTTTTTAAGGTTATTTTGAAGCATTTTGGGAGGCATGGGGACAGGCATATTTCAGGTTATTTTACATATTTTAAACCCTAAACAAACTTACCGTATATCTCCCATATACACACACAGAGTAGAAAAAAAGAGTCGGACACAAGATGCAAGTCAAGTATCTCTTATTGAAAATAGTTGGGAACAGAAGATGGGACATCATTCTAGACACGGAAAGGTCATTCAAGACACAATATTTTGAATCAATTTGTGTGTGAAACAAAGTCTATATATATTATATATATATATATATATATATATATATATATATATATATATATATTCTTGCAAGTTTGTAGTCCAGATTTGAAGCTTCAGTGGCCTCCAAAGCAAAGACAAACTTTATGAGTGTCTTTATCTAGACATGGTGAGACCCTTCACCCCAAAAGTTCAAAAACCATGTTATTTTCTTGCAACCCTGTCACAGGTTCGAATCCGGGAGAGCGCGGATGAGCTCCCTCTGTCAGCTCCAGCTCCCCATGTGGAGAAATGAGAGAAGCCTCCCACAAGGATGATAAAACATCAAAAACATCCCTGGCCAATGTCCTTGCAGATGGCCAATTCTCTCACACCAGAAGCGACTTGCAGTTTCTCAAGTCGCTCCTGACAAAAAAATTAAAAAAGCCAGTCGGGTTTTCACTCCATTGTTCTGATCCAGCAGGGCAGCCCCAATGAAACTTTTTCCAGCTGCTTTTGAAATGTCCCTTTTCTCCATTTGTCCTTCAGTTTAGTTCAATTCCTGCCAATGGAGTTCAAATTGCAAAAAAATAAATAAATTGCAAGTAATGCAATGTTGGCCCTTCCCAGTCAGCTTAGGCAAAAGCAAACTGCTGCAGCCTCTCCTAGATTTGTGTGTCCATCCTCCTTAATATCGTTTGTCCTCTGGTGTTGCTCTGCCACACGTCTGTGAAATGTTGGAGGATATGAAGCTCTAGGAAAATAATAATAATAATGGGGATCAGCATGCATTTTCCGGGCCGACGGTGCAGGGAAGACTCTCCTTCGGGCCGAGTACGTTTTCTGCTTTTTCCTCGGACTTAACTGGGACGTAGCAGTACGGTTTGATAGCAGCAAGGTTCGCCTCGAAGCCCTTTGGGAGATTTGGTGGTCCCGGGTGACCACAGGGTTGGAGAAAGCCGGCCTTTTTGCCATGGCTGCTTCGGTTGCGCCAGGAAGCCCATCGGCTGAGGCTGTGCCCTGGCTTCTCAAGCAGCCCGGCTCCCAATTGGCACCGCTGCCACTTCCGCTGGATTTCAGATTGGACCTGAGCAAAGATGAAGAAAATATAGTGCAGGCCTTTTAAAACTTTTTCCACTTGGGGACATTCTATTACATAGAATTATAGAGTTAGAAGAGACTCCAAAGGGCATTGGTCCAACCCCCTGCAATGCAGAAACAGCACAATCAAAATACTCCTGACAGGTGGCCATCCAGCTTCTGTTTAAAAGCCTCCAAGGAAGGAGGCTCCCATCACTTTTGATTACCCGCTATGAAGGCTTGGGATAATGGAAACGGCAACCCGACAACCCTGTGCTTTAAGGAACTTAGCCACTCACCTCTTTATTGACAAAGCAGTAGAGTATGCTCACCAGAAGGCCCTGAAGGTGTTTGAAAAGAAAGGATGATAAGATTTAATGGATCTACGCTTCAGGCTTGTACTGGCTTCTAACCAGCATAACTATATGAAACATATCTGTCAGTCAAACAAACCCTGAGTTAGATAGACCAATGGCTCCTATATGTGGGGAAGCATTCAAGATGTGCCCCATACCTGGAGGGAGTTGAGGAAGAGCTCAAAGAAGAATTTGACGTATCGCAAGGTGCCTTGAGCCTGCTCCTCGGTGACCAGAGCAAACACCACTTCGTGGATGCCCAACAAGGGGATGAGGGTCAGGGTTGACTTGGCCAGCCTAAAGATGGGGAAGAGGAGGAAGAACATCAAAATCACCATCACCTAGTCAGGTTTCAAGGTTGTTAGCCCACATGTCTCATACTCAAGGCCTGCAGGCTGAATCATGTGTTGCTCCCTCCAGATGCTGGACCACAACTCCTATATTCCTTCTCATTAGACATCAGGAATAGAGCTGATGGGAGTTGTGATACAGTGACATATGGGAGACTGCAATTTGTTCTGTTGAATCAGTGTTGGATGGATGCCTGGATGTTTTTGATGTTTTATCATCCTTGTGGGAGGTTTCTTTCATGTCCCCGCATGAGGAGCTGGAGCTGATAGAGGGAGCTCATCCACGCTCTCCCTGGATTCGAACCTGGGCAACGTCCTTGCAGACGGCCAATTCTCCCGAGGTATTATATTACTTTCTCTTGCCAAAATACAATGCTTGATAAGAATACCCCACAACCCAAAGTTTGTTCCGTACCGCATTTTGTAATCCGCATAGCGCATCTGTTGTGCCTGGAGCTTGGAAACCAAGATCTTGATAACGCGGATGAAGATCACAAAGTTGACCTGGGAAATGGGGAAAAACAAAGAATCCAATTTGTGGAAAACTGGTTTTGGGACAAGAAGAACCAATGTCCTCATTTGCTTTAGGGCAGCTTCTCCACTTACAAAGATGGCTAGTAGGATAGGACAGCGAATGATCCACCAGTAGCCCATGTTATCATTTCTCTCCCAGCATCTGAAAAAAGAGTATCATGAAAAGATATCAGAAAGAAAGAGTCACCAAAGTCACCTTTGAGACATAACTTAGGGTCGTCTACATTGCAGATCGATATCACTTTAACTGATGTGGCTCAATGCTATGGAATCATAGGAATTGTAGTTTGGCGAGGCATTCTGACATCTGTTAGGGTCTGGGTTGTTGTAGGTTTTTTTCGGGCTATATGGCCATGTTCTAGAGGCATTCTCTCCTGACGTTTCACCTGCATCTATGGCAAGCATCCTCAGAGGTTGTGACCTCACAACCTATGAGGATGCTTGCCATAGATGCAGGCGAAACATCAGGAGAGAATGCTTCTAGAGGACCTCACAACCTCTGAGGATGCTTGCCATAGATGCAGGCAAAATGTCAGGAGAGAATGCTTCTAGAGGACCTCACAACCTCTGAGGATGCTTGCCATAGATGCAGGCGAAAGGTCAGGAGGGAATGCTTCTAGAGGACCTTACAACCTCTGAGGATGCTTGCCATAGATGCAGGCGAAAGGTCAGGAGAGAATGCTTCTAGAGGACCTCACAACCTCTGAGGATGCTTGCCGTAGATGCAGGTGAAAGGTCAGGAGGGAATGCTTCTAGAGGACCTCACAACCTCTGAGGATGCTTGCCATAGATGCGGGCAAAACGTCAGGAGAGAATGCTTCTAGAGGACCTCACAACCTCTGAGAATGCTTGCCATAGATGCAGGCGAAACGTCAGGAGAGAATGCCTCTAGAACATGGCCATATAGCCCGAAAGAAACCCAGTGATTCCAACCATGAAAGCCTTCGACAGTACATCTGTTAAGGTCATCTACATTGCAGATTCAATGCAGTTCGATATCACTTTAACTGCTGTGGCTCAATCCTATGGAATCATAGGAGTTATAGCTGGCTTGTTGTAGGTGTTTTGGGTTATATGGCCATGTTCTAGAAGCATTCTCTCCTGATGTTTCGCCTGCATCTGTGGCAAGCATCCTCAGAGGTTGTGAGGTCCTACAATACATAGGAGCTGTAGTTTGGCAAGGCATTCTGACATCTGTTCCATGCATGTAAACACTATCTTGCTACTAAAAATGAGATCCAAACTTCCTGGCTGTGCAGACATGGCATCAGAAGATCTCAAAATATAAGCAGGTTTGTATCATACAGACTTACTCGTGGTTTTCGTAGAGATACCTCACAATCACCCAAGGCAGGACGAAAAGGATTGGAGACCCTGCACAGAAAGATAGACTAACATCAATCATTGGCCTCACGTTAAGTCTACGTTTATTTATTTATCATGTCAGGAGCAAACCAAACAGTTGTATTGCCATTTTTAACAAACAAACAAACAAAACACAAAGTTTGCAAGCTTGGTAGTTGATTAAATGTCCTTTGACCAGTATCTGGCCACTTGGAGTGCCTCTGGTGTTGCTGCAAGGAGGTCCTCCCTTGTGCATGTGGCAGGGCTCAGGTTGCATTGCAGCAGGTGGTCAGTGGTTTGCTCCTCTCCACACTCGCATGTCGTGGATTCCACTTTGTGGCCCCATTTCTTAAGGTTGGCTCTGCATCTCGTGGTGCCAGAGCGCAGTCTGTTCAGCGCCTTCCAAGTCGCCCGGTTTTCTGTGTGCCCAGGGGGAGTCTCTAATTTGGTATCAGCCATTGATTGAGGTTCTGGGTTTGAGCCTGCCACTTTTGGACTCTTGCTTGCTGAGGTGTTCCAGCGAGTGTCTCTGCAGAGTTTATAAAACTATTTCTAAGTCTACATAATGGGTGCAATTAACGCCTGATGCACAACAAAGCTTCACCTCCTTCCTTTTCATTTCCCCATGGCATAGATTGCTTCTTTGCAGTGCTTTTGGGAAGCAAAAGTGACATCGCTCACATCTAATTCACTGTCATTTTCTTAGATTGAGTATACATGTACGTATGTGATATATTCAGCTCTGCATGGAGCTGAATATAAAGATGATTTGGCGATTTCAATAGCTGCCACACTGGTGAAGCAAGGTTCTCAGAATCTACACCAGGCTTGGAAAGTTGTTATTATTATTATTATTATTATTATTATTATTATTATTATTATTATTATTTTACAATAAATGTTCTGTCACGCACTGGGCCTGTAATAATTGTCTTTTCAAATAGGACGTGCACCTTGTGCCCAGCGGGAAGCCAGGGCGCCATGAAAGAGGCCCTCAAGGATTTTCCGGAAGAAATGGTCTTTAGATGGCTTGAAAGGTTTAACGAAGTCCTTTATTATTGAACAAATTAAACTGATATTTCTCAAATCTTCAATGAGTCAAACAAATGCTTCATGGCTTTAAATCAAATGGTGGCTTCCTTAATCTTGTCCACAAGGGACAGGCAACTGTCTTCGTTCATTGTTCTTATACTTTGAGAGGAAAACCCTTTTTTAACCTCTCCCAGGCTGTCTGTTATCTAAGCTTTGTTGGTGTGGGATCTACTACCGATTCCAAGCTGCGTCTTGGTACTGAGTAAACCTACCAGACAAAGCTTGTAGATTCTCCAGCTGGAGTTCTTTGGGTCTGTAAAGCTGTTTTCCCTCTGGAATTTCTTTAAGACTTTAGGGCTGTTTCCCTCAGATGCTGTAAGGCTGAGAGGCTGCAGAGCTTTGGGAATTTTCCCCCTGAATGTCTTGAGAAATGAAGCTTTTCTGCAGGTGAAGCTTGTCCACGTCCTCTAACTTAGCTTTCCTCACTAAGACTAACTAAAAATGGCCCCCTCTTCCCTTCCCATCTCCTTGGTAGAAGGGGCAGATCCAAACTTAACAATGATAGATAGGTGGCTTGCCCTATGACTGCAAACCAAAGTTTTTGCAGAATCCCTGAAACTTTGGAATGCATGCAAACATTTAATAGAAAATAAAGTTGGAGCTCCTGGTACAGACGTACCAGCACAATAAACATTGACAAAATCACAATTTGCAGTTGACAGATTGTGATTTTGTCAATGTTTATTGTTTCCTTATTATTATTATTATTATTATTATTATTATTATTATTATTATTAATCATTATCCCATTGGGACATGGCACCAGCCGCCAGACTCACCCCATCCAAGTAGCAGATAGCCTAGGAAATAGCTCTCTTCGGAGAAGGCCAGGGGTCCCAGCAAGTTATGGAGATAGAGTCCTTCCACCAGGAGCCAGTAGTAGTTTGCACAGACGCAGTATTGGGTGAGGACCTGTGCCAGGCGACAGCTGGCTCCAGCCTAGACATGGCAGACAGAGAGAAGAGGGAACAGATCTTGAATTCAGCACTCTATCTGTCATTACGTGGAAAGCTAAGGAGTTGCATTACCTCCCCACAAAGGAGACATTGCAAGGGGGGCAAAAACTGTTTTACAAACTATATATAAGTGAAAATATGTATGTAGTTATATATGTTTGTTTGAATCACAAAGGCTGCTACATGGCTTGATGGCTCTGGACCAAACGGAGTACGCATACCCTTCATTATATAACAAAAAATACGGATGGGATTTGTTTGGGTGGGGTTGATAGAGAATGGTGAGAATTGTAGTCCGTCCACATCCAGAGAGCTGCACGATTCCCACCCAGGATGGAACTGGACCAAATGGGTGGGGGTTGTCAGGATTATTTAGTTATGTATGCGTGTTTTTCAATGTGCTTCTATGTAATTCAAGATGGATTCTATTCAGTTCAATTGTGTATTAGAAATACTGTGCTGAGGCTGTGAAACTGTAACCTTGACAGAAATGAGATATCATGTTTTCTGGCTGGGAAGAAAAGGGAGGAAATGGTCTCAGCCAGAAGTCAGATAAGCAGATGTTCAGAGACTGTTGTTTTTGCCTAGAAGTTCCTGTCTGTAGCTTGCTGTGTATAGACGTGTGTAGATGTACTTAGTAGACTTAGTGTTCTGTTGTAACTGGAAGTCTGCAGAGTCCTGATTTCTGAACACAATGTCTGCCGATCTAGCAATCCTTCCGCTGGCAAGAGTCAATACTCTGACAGGGGTTTGATAGAGGATTATGGGAGTTGGAGTCCATCTGAGAGCTGTGTGATTTCCACCAACAACCAAATGAGCAGCTCTCCTCCTAACTGATCAACTTGCTTTCCAGACCGCATTTCCCAGCACCCTTACTCCTTCATTAGGCAGGCCAGGGATGATGGGACTTGTAGCATAACAAGAGGGCTGAGCCATCTGACTGCTCTCCAACTAGGTTCAAACTGGGATGCAATATCACCACCAAATGTGGATCTGGTACCTGTGCCATAGGAAAGCTAGAGAAATCTCCTTCCTTCTGGAAGTCTTCGGGAAAACGGAGCCGTAAAAGTGCATCCCGGGCGAGGATGGAGATGGCGCGCAGCACGTAGGACAGGAAAAGGTTCATGTGGATGTAATTGCGGATACACCGAAGTTTCCTGGGGAGGAAGAATCGAGAAGACAAGCTATGACAAAATCTGTGTCAATACAGGCCGGGGTTTCTCTTGATATTTGTAGAGAAAACCCAGACTTTTCTAACTGGAGCACTATCAGAAAAGGGACAGAGAGTTTCATCTATGCTGATGATCACGCCATCACAGCTCAAGCAGGGAGCTTTGAGATGGCTGAACAGAAGTTCTCCGAAGCTCTAGGTGCCCTTACTGCCTATTACAGGGAAAACCAGCTGATCCCTAATCCATCTAAAACACAGACATGTGCTTTTCACCTTAAGAACAGACAAGCATCCCGAGCTCTGAGGATCACCTGGGAAGGAATCCCACTGGAGCATTGCAGCGCACCCAAATACCTGGGAGTCACTCTGGACCGTGCTCTGACCTACAAGAAGCACTGCCTGAATATCAAGCAAAAAGTGGGCGCTAAAAACAATATCATACGAAAGCTGACTGACACAACCTGGGAATCACAATCAGACACAGTGAAGACATCTGCCCTTGCGCTATGCTATTCTGCTGCTGAGTATGCATGCCCAGTGTGGAACACATCTCACACGCTAAAACAGTAGATGTGGCTCTTAATGAGACATGCCGCATTATCACAGGGTGTCTGCGCCCTACACCACTGGAGAAATTACACTGTTTAGCCGGTATTGCACCACCTGACATCCGCCGGGAAGTAGCAGCCAATAGTGAAAGGACCAAGGCAGAGACATCTCCAGCTCATCCCTTGTTTGGGTATCAGCCAGCACGTCAACGACTTAAATCAAGAAATCGTTTTCTAAGATCTACAGAGACACTCGCTGGAACACCTCAGCAAGCGAGAGTCCAAAAGTGGCAGGCTCAAACCCAGAACCTCAATCAATGGCTGATATCAAATGAGAGACTCCCCCCTGGGCACACAGAAGACTGGGCAACTTGGAAGGCACTGAACAGACTGCGCTCTGGCACCACGAGATGCAGAGCCAACCTCCAGATCTGTCAACGGGAAAACGACCTGGATCCAGGATTTAATCCTGGAGGAGCGGGCAGATCTGGCGTGCATCACGGAGACCTGGCTGGATGAAGCGGGGGGCGTAAATCTCTCCCAGCTTTGTCCTCCGGGTTTCTCCGTGCAACACCAACCAAGAGCCGGAGGACGGGGAGGCGGGGTCGCAGTGGTCTATAGAGATTCCATCCATCTGACCAGGAGTCCCATCCCGCAGACCACAAATTTCGAATGCGTCCACCTGAGGGTGGGTGACCGGGACAGAATAGGGATTCTTGTAGTGTACCGTCCACCTCGCTGCACTACAGTCTCCCTGCCTGAGCTAGCGGGGGTGGTCTCGAGCCTGGTGGTGGAGTCCCAACGGCTTCTTGTGCTGGGGGACTTCAACATCCATGCCGAGGCGACCCTCACAGGAGCGGCTCAGGACTTCATGTCTGCCATGGCAACCATGGGGCTGTCCCAACAAATAACTGGCCCCACCCACTGTGCTGGACACACATTGGACTTGGTTTTCTGCCAGGGATAGAGCTGTGTGATTTCCACCAACAACCAAATGAGCAGCTCTCCTCCTAACTGATCAACTTGCTTTCCAGACCGCATTTCCCAGCACCCTTACTCCTTCATTAGGCAGGCCAGGGATGATGGGACTTGTAGCATAACAAGAGGGCTGAGCCATCTGACTGCTCTCCAACTAGGTTCAAACTGGGATGCAATATCACCACCAAATGTGGATCTGGTACCTGTGCCATAGGAAAGCTAGAGAAATCTCCTTCCTTCTGGAAGTCTTCGGGAAAACGGAGCCGTAAAAGTGCATCCCGGGCGAGGATGGAGATGGCGCGCAGCACGTAGGACAGGAAAAGGTTCATGTGGATGTAATTGCGGATACACCGAAGTTTCCTGGGGAGGAAGAATCGAGAAGACAAGCTATGACAAAATCTGTGTCAATACAGGCCGGGGTTTCTCTTGATATTTGTAGAGAAAACCCAGACTTTTCTAACTGGAGCACTATCAGAAAAGGGACAGAGAGTTTCATCTATGCTGATGATCACGCCATCACAGCTCAAGCAGGGAGCTTTGAGATGGTTGAACAGAAGCTCTCCGAAGCTCTAGGTGCTCTTACTGCCTATTACAGGGAAAACCAGCTGATCCCTAATCCATCTAAAACACAGACATGTGCTTTTCACCTTAAGAACAGACAAGCATCCCGAGCTCTGAGGATCACCTGGGAAGGAATCCCACTGGAGCATTGCAGCACACCCAAATACCTGGGAGTCACTCTGGACTGTGCCCTGACCTACAAGAAGCACTGCCTGAATATCAAGCAAAAAGTGGGTGCTAGAAACAATATCATACGAAAGCTGACTGGCACAACCTGGGGATCACAACCAGACACAGTGAAGACATCTGCCCTTGCGCTATGCTACTCTGCTGCTGAGTACGCATGCCCAGTGTGGAACACATCTCACCACACTAAAACAGTGGATGTGGCTCTTAATGAGACATGCCGCATTATCACAGGGTGTCGGCGCCCTACACCACTGGAGAAATTACACTGCTTAGCCGGTATTGCACCACCTGACATCCGCCGGGAAGTAGCAGCCAATAGTGAAAGGACCAAGGCAGAGACATCTCCAGCTCATCCCGTTTGGGTATCAGCCAGCACGTCAATGACTTAAATCAAGAAATAGTTTTCTAAGATCTACAGAGACACTCGCTGGAACACCTCAGCAAGTGAGAGTCCAAAAGTGGCAGGCTCAAAACCAGAACCTCAATCAATGGCTGATACCAAATGAGAGACTCCCCCCTGGGCACACAGAAACTGGGCGACTTGGAAGGCGCTGAACAGACTGTGCTCTGGAACCACGAGATGCAGAGCCAACCTCAAGAAATGGGGTCACAAAGTGGACTCCACGACATGCGAGCGTGGAGAGGAGCAAACCACTGACCACCTGCTGCAATGCAACCTGAGCCCAGCCACATGCACAATGGAGGACCTTCTTGCGGCAACACCAGAGGCACTCCAAGTGGCCAGATACTGGTCAAAGGACATTTAATCAACTACCAAGCTTGCAAACTTTGTGTTTTGTTTGTTTGTTTGTTAAAAATGCAATACAACTGTTTGGCTTGCCCCTGACACGATAAATAAATAGAAAATGGAATCGGTGAAAATGTGGAACCCAGATTTCTTTTTTAAGACCAAAGACTAAACCTCACAACCTCTGAGGATGCCTGCCATAGATGCAGGCAAAATGTCAGGAGAGAATGCTTCAGAAACATGGCCATATAGCTCAAAAAACTTACAGCAACCCAGCGATTCCAGCCATGAAAGCCTTCAACAACACATCAGCACTAACACTAGATGGCACCAAGTCGACTGAGAACTAAAATCCAAAGTGCCAAACAAGAAGCAGCAGTGGTCAAAACAGCACAAAAAATACATAGCTGTAATTTAGATCTGTCACGAGAACGAAATGTCTTCTCAAAATTGTTAATACATCGGCATATCAGTACTAGTGTTGGCTGGACAGCAGCAAGTTCTATTCATCTGCATCACAGGGATAATTCTTTAGCTGTCAGTAGGAGAACGCTTGTTATATTATCAACATCACTGTCACTATCATCTTATTTTATTCTATACAGCATTTCCTCCTCTATAGCAGTGTTTCTCAACCTGGGGGTCGGGACCCCTGGAGGGGTCGTGAGGGGGTGTCAGAGGGGTCGCCAAAGACCATCAGAAAAGACAATATTTTCTGTTGGTCATGGGGGTTCTGTGTGGGAAGTTTGGCCAATTCTATCATTGGTAGGGTGCAGAATGCTCTTTGATTGTAGGTGAACTATACATCCCAGCAACTACAACTCCCAAATGTCAAGGTATTTCCCCCAAATTCCACCAGTGTTCACATTTGGGCATATTGAATATTTGCCCCAAGTTTGGTCCAGATCCACCATTGTTTGAGTCCACAGTGCTCTCTGGATATAGGTGAACTACAACTCCCAAACTCAAGGTCAATGCCCACCAAACCCTTCCAGTGTTTTCCATTGGTCATGGGAGTTCTGTGTGGCAAATTAGGTTCAAATCCATTGTTGGTGGAGTTCCGAATGCTCTTTGATTGTAGGTGACCTATAAATCCCAGCAACTACAACTCCAAAGTTACAAAATCAATCCTCCCCAATCACATCTGTATTCAAATTTGGGTGTATCGGGTATTCGTGCCAAATTTGGTCCAGTGAATGAAAATATATCCTGCATATCAGATATTTACATTATGATTCATAACAGTAGCAAAATTACACAGTTGTAAAATAGCAACAAAAATAATTTTATGGTTGGGGGTCACCACAACATGAGGAACTGCATTAAGGGGTCATGGCATTAGGAAGGTTGAGAACCACTGTCCTATAGTAAAGGTAGTCCATGCTCCGGTTACATCCCGTATAGATTACTGCAATGCGCTCTACATGGGATTGCCTTTGAAGACTGCCCAGAAGCTTCAAATGGTCCAACGGTCGGCAGACAGATTGTTAACAGGAGAAGCACTCAGGGAGCATACAACTCCTCTGCTGTGCCAGCTTTACTGGCTGCCAGTTTGCTACCGGGTACAATTCAAAGTGCTGGCTTTAGCCCATAAATGTTGGGACTCAGCCTGTGATTGAATCTGAGCCTGTGCTTGAACCTGTGAATGTGTTTCAGCGTCCTGATGTTTCTGTGTCTGATGTGAGTAATGAGGAGGGATTCAGTTCCCTGTTGCTTCTGATGTGGGGGATGCTGGGACTGACTCTGAGGTGCATTGCACTTTGGGCAATGAGTTTCATGCAGACACTGACAGAGAGGCTTCGCTGCCAAGGGCAGATTCTCATGAGAATGTTTCTGTCAGGCCTTGGGATAAAGGTTTACTCCCTCCGTCTGTGAGTTCTCCAGATTCTAGTTTGGAAAACTGTCTGACACCTGCTAGAGTTAATGAGGAGTCAGATAAGCACAGTCGGCGGATGGAGATTAGCCAGAATCGACAAGAGGCCCAATGTTTATGTAGATCCAAAAGAATTCGTCAATTAAAGTCAAAGACTGGGGGAAAACGAAACCAGTTTTTGGGATTTAAGGTTTGCCTGTAGAAAATCTTGTCAGATCAGGCATCGTTTGGAAACTAAGTTCTTGTGCCATGGAAATCTTGTTCAAGGGATTTTGTTTCTTTTTAATTGTCTTTGCATCCTGCTTGATTCCTGTCTGGATTAATGCTATCTTGGATTGCCTGTATTTCTTGTATGGACATTGCTTTGGGTTACTACTGTTTATGGACTAATACTTTTTGGAACCTGCTGATTTTCTTAAAAGCATTTATTTCTTCTGGCTATTTACTAAACTTTAATAAAAGAAGATTTGATTATTCACTCTTCGTGTGACGTGTTTTAAGTCAGAGGGCATCATCTGGACCTGGAGTGCAACAATAAAGCCCTAAACGGTTCTGGCCCAATTTACCTGTCCAAACGCATCTCCCCTTATGAACCATCTAGGACTTTAAGATCGTCCGGGAAGGCCCTGCTCTCGATCCCACCCTCATCACAAGTACGTTTGGTGGGGACGAGAGACAGTGCCTTCTCTATGGTGGCCCCTCGGCTAAGGAACGCCCTCCCTAAGGAGATTAGATCGGCTCCCTCACTCTTAACATTTCGGAGACAAGGTAAGACATGGTTATATGAACAAGTGTTTACAAATGCAGAGTAACTAACATAGGAAATGGAATCACTCGACAATGGAACTTGGACAACGTTATTTAACTAGGAGACGCTGATGATAATGATGCTGGTTTTTATTGCTTCTATTGTAGTTTTATACTGTTTTAATGTCTAATTTGTATTTTATTGTTATGTGTACTGACTTGTAAAATGTCTTGAGTCGCCGATAATGCTGAGAAAGGCAGTATACAAGTATAGTAAATAAATAAATAAATAAATAAATAAAGGTTTCCCCTGACATTAAGTGTAGTCGTGTCCAACTCTAGGAGTTAGTGCTCATCTCAATTTCAAAGCCGAAGAACCAGTGTTGTCAATAGACACCTTCTAGTTCATGTGGCCGGCATGATTGCATGCAGCACCATTACCTTCCTGCCTGAACGGTACCTATTTACTCATATTTGCATGTTTTTGAACTGCTAGGTTGGCAGAAGCTGGGGCTATCAATAGGAGCTCACCGCATCTCGCAGATTCGAACTGCCAAACTTCCGGTCAACAAGTTCAGCAGCTCAATGGTGTAACCCGCTGAAACCACCATGGCCCCCTTCTTCCTATACTGGAACTCAATGGCAGGAGAACTATTGCTGGATCACCATCATCATCATTTATATATGGCTTTTAATTCTATAGAACAGTGTTTCTCAACCTGGGGGTTGGGACCCCTGAGGGGGTCGTGAGGGGGTGTCAAAGTGGTTGCCAAAGACCATCAGAAAACATAGTATTTTCTGGTGGTCATTGGGATTCTGTGTGGGAAGTTTGACCCAATTCTATTGTTGGTCGAGTTCAGAATGCTCTTTGATTGTAGGTGAACTATAAATCCCAAAAACTACAACTCCCAAATGTCAAGGTCTATTTTCCCCAGACTCTACCAGTGTTCACATTTGGGCATATTGAGTATTAGTCCAACCCCCCTTTCCATCTTGTCTTTACTATTAATACAATATAGGTAAAGGTAAAGGTAGTCCCCTGACATTAAGTCCAGTCATGTCTGACTCTGGGGTGTGGTGCTCATCTCCATTTCTAAGCCGAAGAGCCAGCGTTGTCCGTAGACCCCTCCAAGGTCATGTGGCCGGCATGACTGCATGGAGCGCCGTTACCTTCCCGTCGGAGTGGTACCTATTGATCTACTCACATTTGCATGTTTTCGAACTGCTAGGTTGGCAGAAGCTAGGGCTGACAGCGGAAGCTCACGCCGCTCCCCGGAATCGAACCTGCGACCTTTCGATCAACAAGCTCAGCAGCTCAGTGCTTTAACCCACTGCACCACCGGGGGCTCCTCCTCTGGATATAGGTGAACTACAACTCCCAAGCTCAAGGTCAATGCCCACAAAACCCTTCCAGTGTTTTCTGTTGGTCATGGGAGTTCTTTGTGCCAAGTTTGGTTTAAATCCATCGCTGGTGGAGTTCAGAATGCTTTTTGATTATAGGTGAACTATAAATCCCAGCTCCCAAATTACAAAATCAATCCTACCCCCCCACCCCACCCCACTAGCATTCACATTTGGACATATTGGGTATTTGTGCTCAATTTAGTCCAGTGAGTGAAAATATATCCTGCATATCGGATATTTACATTACGATTTATAACAGTACTAAAATGACAGGTATCAAGTAGCAACGAAACAATATTATGGTTGGGGGTCACCACAACATATGGAACGCCATTAAGGGGTCATGGCATTAGCAAGGCTGAGAACCACTGCTATAGAAGGAGAGCTAATGCTATATCATCATCATCATCATCACTGTCACATCATTTTATTCTTTTCTATATGGCCTTTCCTCCTATACTGGGACTCAATAGCAGGAGAGCCTATTGCTATATCATCATCACCATCAACATCATCATTATCACCATCATATTATTAATTCAGATAAGGCCTTTCCTCTCATATTGGGACTCAAGACTCTTAGTTGAATATTAAAACCAGAACAAATTAACAACATTCAAATATATCAGTCAATATACTATGTTAGGAATTGTGGGAGTTGAGGTCCAAAACACCCAGAGGGCCAAAGTTTGCCCATGCCTGGTCTAGAACATATTGTTTGAATTAGCTCTGATTCTGGGAATGTCCTAGTTTAAACGTACAGCCTCGGTTGAAGTCTCAGACATGGCAAATATTTATTTATTTGGGTCTTCTCCATGTACCTGAAGGTGGACAGCAGGGCCAAGGCCACCAGCAAAGCCATCAGAGAAACGGAGTAGCCCATGGTGTACATCAGCCGGAACTGCTCTAGAATCCACAAGCGTTTCTGGAAGAAAATCAAAGTAGAAATGCTTAGACTAATCCTTTTCTGAAATGCTTTGGAGCAGAAGTGTTATAGATACTTACTTAGGCGATCCCTCGCTGTCCAAGTAGGATTGTCTTCCAAGTTCGGTGTCCTGGCGGTGGGTACGTAGGTGACTGTGGAGCCCTATTCTTGACCTGCATGTTCTCCCATAATGAGGGCATTGGCTTCCAGGCGTAAGGCTTTCACAGGGTTGGCTTGATGTGCCTTCCTCTTGGCATGGTCCTCTCTTTCACCCTCCATTTGTGCCTCTTCCAATTCTACAGCACTGCTGATCATAGCTGACCTCCAGCTGTAGTGAGGACATTGGTTTCCAGGCGTAAGGCTTTCGCAGGATTGGCTTGACGTGCCTTCCTCTTGGCATGTTTCTCTCTTTCACCCTCCATTTGTGCCTCTTCAAATTCTACAGCACTGCTGATCATAGCTGACCTCCAGCTGGAGTGAGGACAATGGTTTCCAGGCGTAAGGCTTTTGCAGGATTGGCTTGACGCACCTTCCTCTTGGAATGTTTCTCTCTTTCACCCTCCATTTGTGCCTCTTCAAATTCTATAGCACTGCTGATCATAGCTGACCTCCAGCTGGAGTGAGGACAATGGTTTCCAGGTGTAAGGCTTTCGCAGGATTGGCTTGACGCGCCTTCCTCTTGGCATGTTTCTCTCTTTCACCCTCCATTTGTGCCTCTTCAAATTCTACAGCACTGCTGATCATAGCTGACCTCCAGCTGGAGTGAGGACAATGGTTTCCAGGCGTAAGGCTTTTGCAGGATTGGCTTGACGCACCTTCCTCTTGGAATGTTTTTCTCTTTCACCCTCCATCCGTGCCTCTTCAAATTCTACACCACTGCTGATCATAGCTGACCTCCAACTGGAGTGCTCAAGGGCCAGGCCTTCCCAGTTCTTGGTGTCCATGCCACGGTTTTTAAGGTTGGCTTTGAGCCCATCTTTAAATCTCTTTTCCTGTCCACCAACTTCTGTTTTCCGTTCTTGAGTTCAGAATAGAGCAACTGCTTTGGGAGATGGTGGTCGGGCATCCGGGCAACGTGGCTGGTCCAGCAGAGTTGATGGTGGTCTTTGCTTCTTCCAGCATGCTGACATTTGTCTGCTAATCTTCCCAAGAGATTTGCAGGATTTTCCAGAGGCAGTGCTGATGGAATCATTCCAGGAGTTGCATGTGACGTCTGTAGACAGTCCACGTCTCATAGGCATATAGCAGGGTTGGGAGGACAATAGCTTTATAAACAAGCACCTTGGTATCCCTACGGATGTCCCTACGGATGCTATATGATATCTGTATTTGCATATATGTACCTAATGAGATATCTTGGAGATAGGACCCAAGACTAAGAATTTACACTCACCAATGTTTTGTCTACACTTCTACAAGTCCCGGCAACCCCTAACCAGCATAACCAATGTTGGAGGATGCTGGGAGTTGTAATCCTGCAACATCTGGAGGGTTATATGATTGTCAACCCTGCTTTAACCCAATGCATGTACCTGGAAGGGAAGGTCTTCGGGAAGGTCCTCACATTGGGAGTGATCGCGCCAAGGATGGCCTGTCTCGTCTTGCACCCATTGCCCGTCTGCCCCACATTTCTGGAACACGAAGCCATCTTGCACTGCAAAGAAAGCGAGAAAGGGACAAACAGTGCTAAGTTGCCTGTTTACATTTTAAAGTGAGCCCTCTGGGATTTGGTTCCAGGACACCCCATTGACACCAAGAGCTGTAAATGATCCAGTCCTATTATTATTTTATTCTTATTCTTCTTCTTATTTGATACACAACAAGATTATTACACAGCAAACTTGATCACTATGCTGGCTTTTGTATTCAACCACACATTGGGAACATCGGATATTATTATTATTATTATTATTATTATTATTATTATTATTATTATTATTATCCATCGTGTGCCAGACTTCAGGGAACGGGGTGGCAATGAGGTGAAGGATGGGAATGCCTTTGGCAAAGGAAAACATATGTTTGCAATTCCATGCAAGTGCAAGATGATATTATTATTATTTTACTGACACAAGAACACAGTTTGTCACAGCAAATGAGATCCCGATGCTGGATTTCATATCACAAAATCACAAGTTGAACCCTTCCCAAGCGCCTAGGACTGTATGATGTATTTTCAAATGATGCGCACAGATCCAAGTCAGGTGGCCTTTTGCAGTTGACAGATCGTGATTTTATCAGTGTTTATTGTTTCCAAATGTCGGCTGAGATCTTTTGGCACGGCACCCAGTGTGCCGATCACCACTGGGACCACCTGTTCTGGTTTATGCCAGAGCCTTTGCAGTTCAATTTGAGTTCTTGATAGCGGCTGAGTTTTTCCTGTTGTTTTTCCTCAATGCGACTGTCACCTGGAATGGGGATATCAATAATCCAGACTTTTTTCTTTTCCACAATCGTGATGTCTGGTGTATTGTGTTCCAAAACTTTGTCAGTCTGGATTCCAAAGTCCCACAGCATTTTTGCATGTTCATTTTCCACTACCTTTGCAGGTTTATGATCTCTTTACCAGTTCTTTGCTACTGGCAGGTGGCCCTTGTGACATAAGTTCCAGTGAATCACCGCCTTCATGGGTTGTCAAACTCACCTTGCGGATACCAAGGAAGATACCAAGGACAGGGAACCTTGGCCGTGCTGTTGGGAAGGGCATCGTCCCAGCAGGCATACATGTCGAAGGTACGGTTGCACACCAGGCCTGGAAACATATCAAAAGAAACAAAGGGATTATTTGCAAACGGACTTCTAGCATAGCTGACGACTTGAAGAGGAGATGGGGGTTGTTTTCAATGGCCATCAGAGAGACCCCAAGACTGTTGCTACCTGAGGAGTCATTTGGGAGTTGTAGTTGCTGGGATTTATAGTTCACCTACCATCAAAGAGCATTCTGAACCCCACCGACAATAGAATTGGGCCAAATTTCCCATACTGTTTTCTAATGGTCTTTGGTGACCCCTCTGACACCCTCTTGTGACCCCCCCCCCCAGGGGTCCTGACCTCCAGGTTGAGAAACGCTGGTCTATGGTGTTGAATGTTTGCCATGTATATGTACATTGTAATCCGCCCTGAGTCCCCTGCGGGGTGAGAAGGGTGGAATATAAATACTGTAAATAATAAATAAATAAATACATTACATTTGGAAGAGCCCAAAGTTAGGCAAGTTATTTTGGAAAGGGAGGAAGGAAATCCTTCAAGAAAATGTTTCTTCTGGTTGTTTTAGCAGTGGGAAAATTGCAAAATGGGGCAACATTGAGCAAACGTTGTTGGAAGTTTGGAAACTAGCGACAGAAAGACATTCTCTCACCGGTGGGCTGCGGATCCTCAGACATCTTGCGGATGCAGTTCGTCTGATACTGCTGCCACACTTCAAACATATCTTTGGCTGAGTTTCCAAGGGAGTTAGCCTGTAACAGAGAAGGGGAAAAATACAATTTGATATAAGGAACACCATTTTACTGTTGAGTGATTTCAGTGACCACAAGGATCGTGGGTTCGGAAACCGAGCAAGTCTAGCTTTCCAGAAGGCCAAACCAGACACAGACAGGTTAGAATAGGCATGGGCAAACTTGGGCCCTCCAGGTGTTTTGGACTTCAACTCTCACAATTCCTACTGGCAGGGTTGGAAACACTAAGTACAAAGGTGATTCCCAGCCTGGGAGTGCAACAATATCATTACTAGATCATTGTAAGATGGATCTTGGTATCCATGGAGGCTCCAGAAACCAAACCCCAGTGGATACTAAGGGTTCACTGCAATTACTTGTTGGAATGTTCTCACTTCAACTGGAATTATGGAAGAGAAGAATGCGAGATGGAATTCCTGAGCAATTAAAGACAGGAATAAGATGAAACCTCCTTGCTCCTCATTTTCTTACCTCTGCTTTCTTCTGGAGCAAGACACACAGCAGAAGGAGTCCCAGGGATTTCGGCATGCTTTTGGTCCAAGAGAGGCATGAGGATAGGGAGAGGCATCCATCTCAGGGCTCCGTCTCTAGCAGGCTTTGGGACTCTACATTCACATCCATTTCAAGTTAGAAAGAAGCTTTCTGGGGAGATTAAAAAAAACATCAAATTAATCTGTCAGATCAGTAGTCCTTAGTCTTGCTTGGTTGTTTTATAATTTCAATGCAGATGACATAATGGATTTTCCCCATCCCTGGTAGACCCCAGGTCGTCAATAATAATAATAATCATCATCATCATCATCATCATCATCTGCCAGCTGCAGAAGTCCACCTTACTGGGATCTGCACGCATTATTCGCCGATACATCACCCCGTCCTAGACACTTGGGAAGTGTCCAATGTGTGATCCAATACAACAGCCAGCAGAGTGTCTACTGTGGACTCATCTTGTTGTGTTTCAAATAATAATAATTATTATTATCATAATCATCATCATCATCTTTATTTATACCCCATCACCATCTCCCTAATGGGGACCCAGGGTGGCTAACATGAGGCCGAGCCCAAACATAATACAACAAAATAATATACAAAACAATAGAAAATAAATACAACAAATACATAATGCGACAAAATAAAATAAACAATGGAAAAGACATGATAAAATCAGTCACAAAGGGCAGGCCAAATGTGCAAGATAATATGGTAAAAACATTAAAACCCTGGATGAGATAGAAGGTAGAAAAGGTCTATTTGTAAAGAAGGAGCCCAAAACAGGGAGCAGTGGGGTTTGGGCTTCATTTGGGGTAGGGGAAAGTGCATTGTGTAAACAAGCTGTAGGTGGAGACTTACAAAAAAAGGGTTGGGTGGTCACTCTCCGAAGCCACATCAGAAAAGCCAGGTTTTTAGCTCTTTCTTAAAGGCTGCTAAGGTGGGGGCTTGCCTAATCTCACCTGGTAGTGAGTTCCAAAGTTGGGGAGGCCACAGCGGAGAAGGCTCTCTCCCTCGTACCCACTAGCTGTGCCTGTGATAAGGGAAGGGGCGAAAGGAGGGCCTCTCCAGAAGATTGAAGAGATCGTGCAGGTTTCTGGTAGGAGATGCGGTCGCAAAGGTAGGCGGGTCCCAAACTGTTTAGGGATTTATAGGTGATGACCTGCACCTTGAATTGGGACCAGAAAGCTCCTTAAACGGAGTGGGGGGAGGGTGATTGCTCCCTGTAATTCGCCCCAGTTAGTAGTTTGGCTGCTGAACGTTGGACCAATTGAAGTTTCTGGGCCATCTTCAAGGGAAGCCCCATGTAGAGCGCATTTCAATAGTCCAGTCTAGAAGTAACCAAGGCGTGGACCATCCTCTCCAACACTTCACAGAAGGAGCCAAGCAACATCAGAGTGTAGTCATAATGGCAAAAGTTATTAATGAAAGAGAATAGAATCACAGAGTTGGAAGAGACCACATGTGCCATCTAGTCCAACCCCCTTCACACAGGAAAAGCTCAATCAAAGCACCCCTCAAAGATGGCCATCCAACTTCTGTTTCAAAGCCTTCAAAGAAGGAGCTTCTGTCCCACTCTGAGACTGAGAGTATTCTACATTGCTCCTTGTTGAAATTCACAATAGATAGGAGGGTCAGATGCAGTTGGAGCTCAGCCTGTAATTGTGTTTCAGGATCAGGGTGCTTTGGATGTGGGGAGTGATGTTAATGAGTTTCAAAATGAGTTTCAAGATGGCAATGGTTTGGTCAAGGATATTGATGCAGAGAATGACCAAGAGATCCCAGTTCAAAGTGTAGTTTCCCATGAGAATGTCCCTGAGGGATATGGGGATGATGGTGTGCTTTCTGAATTGTTACCAGAGAGTTCCCGTGATAGGGAACATGAAAACAGCTCGGCACCTGGCCCAGCTGCAGAAATTAACGAGCAAATAAATAGACAGAAAGAGATCAGTCAAAACAGGAGAGCCGAACAGTGGCTTCGGTGTTCTGCCAGGCTCCAAGAGAAAAAGATAAGAAATTCTCAGCTAAAGTGAAACCAGTTTCTGAGTGCTAGAGACATAGCTAACAAGGAGATAAAAGTCCCAAGTACACGATATGTAGTCAGATGAAGCATCGTTTGGAATCAAGTCAAGATTTGGTCCCTGTTTCATGGAAGCTTTGCTTGGAAAATGCATGTTTTAAGTGTCTTTGTTTCATGGTTTTTGTTGCTACTTCATAATTGTAATTTCGCTACTGTTATGAATCGTAATGTAAATATCTGATATGCACGATGGATTTTTATTCACCGGACCAAATTTGGCACAAATACCCGATACGCCCAAATTTGAATACTGGTGGGGTTGGGGGAGATTGATGTTATCATTTGGGAGTTGTAGTTGCTAGGATTTATAGTTCGCATACAATCAAAGTGCATTCTGAACACCAAGGAAGGAATTGAATCAGACCTGGCCACACAGAACTCCCATGACCAACAGAAAATGCTAGAACGGCTTGGTGGGCATTGACCTTGAGTTTTGGAGTTGTAGTTCATCTAAATCCAGAGAGCACTGTGGACTCAAACAATGATGGATCTGGACCAAACTTGGCGCCAACACTCAATATGTGCAAATGTGAACTCTGGTGGAGTTTGAGAAAAATAGACCTTGACATTTGGGAGTTGTAGTTGTTGGGATTTATAGTTCACCTAAAAAGAGCATTCTGAACTCCACCAACAATGGAATTGGGCCAAACTTCCCACACAGAACCCATGACCAACAGAAAATATTGTGTTTCTGATGGTTCTCTTTGGCGACCCCTCTGATACCCGTCATGACCCCCTCCCAGTGGTCCCGCGACGTCCCCGTTGATAAACCACTGTCCTAAAGCATTAGAAAACCACCCTTTGGACTAAAACCCATAGGATACTGGGAGATGCTATGGAAAGGGTAGCTGTCCAACTTGGATGCGTTCTTCCCATTCCGGACCTTTGCAATAGATGGGTTGTTGTAAGTTTTTTCGGGCTATATGACCATGTTCTAGAGGCATTCTCTCCTGATGTTTCGCCTGCATCTATGGCAAGCATCCTCAGAGGTAGTGAGGATGCCTGCCATAGATGCAGGCGAATCGACAGGAGAGAATGCCTCTAGAACATGGCCATATAGCCCGAAAAAACTTACAACAACGGCCATGAAAGCCTTTGACAATACTTTGCAAGAGATGTCCCTGTTCTCTGTTTAGCCCCTGCTTCCTTGGGCACTGCCGCTGACTCTAAAAACACAATGCCATGCACAACCCATTAGCACCTTTCTTCCGCAAAAACCGATATTGACTTTGCTAAAAGCTGTCAGGAGAAAGTAAAAATTGAAAAATGATGGTTAATATCTCAGCACTACTGCACACAAACAACCGAGGGCATGTTACACATCCGTTGGGCCCGATAGCAAGGGAAACTGCCAGGGATGAAAGGCACAAGAGGAAATATTCCCCATACACCAAATTTCCTACTTGATGTTGATAGCAACAAAGAGCTCTGTTGGGAACATCTGAAATGATTTAAGCGCAGAGTTGGATAGATTATGTTTATTAGAGTGAAGCTACCAGAAAAGCATATCCTCTTTTCCAATTTGGCAGAGATGATCCTGATTAGTCCTCTATCATCCCATTTTTTTCAGCTGCTGTTAAAATGTCCCAGCTTCTTTCTCCTCCTCCCACTTTCCCCCTTTGTCTTGGCTTCCTTTGGTTGCAGCAAACAGAGTTCAAACTGCAAAGGTAACTTGCTTTCAGTTAATTCAGAGGATGAGACTCTGTCCGTTCCCAGTTGACTTAGGCAAAAGCAAACTGCTGAATCCTCTCCAAACATATGTGTTCTTCTTAGAATCATGGAGTTGGAAGAGGCCCCAAAAGCCATCCAGTCCAGCCCCCTACTGCCACATAAGAAGACACACTTTAAGCTCTCCTGACAGATGGCCACCCAGCCTTTGCTTTAAAACCTCTGAAGAAGGTGACGCCGCTGACTCCTCTCCAAACGTGTATGCTCTTCTTAGAATCATGGAATTGAAAGAGGGAGAAGCCAGTTTTAAACTGGAGAAGGAAGGAATTTCCTCCCTTTGCTGTCCCTGCTTCTGCCTCAAGCCAGAGAAGCCAGTTTTAAACCAGAGAAGGAAGGAATTTCCTCCCTTTGCTTTCCTCGCTTCTGCCTCAAATAAAAGAAGCCAGTTTTAAACTGGAGAAGGCTGAATTTCCTCCCTTTGCGTTCCCCACTTCTGCCTCAAGCCAGAGAAGCCAGTTTTAAACCGGGGAGAATTTCCTCCCTTTGCTTTCCCCACTTCTGCCTCAAGCCAGAGAAGCCAGTTTTAAACCAGGAAAGGCTGAATTTCCTCCCTTTGCTTTCCCCGTTTCTGCCTCAAGCCAGAGAAGCCAGTTTTAAACCGGGGAAGGCTGAATTTCCTCCCTTTGCTTTCCCCACTTCTGCCTCAAGCCAGAGAAGCCAGTTTTAAACCGGAGAAAGCTGAATTTCCTTCCTTTGCTTTCCTTGCTTCTTCCCCAAGCCAGAGAAGCCAGTTTTAAACCAGAGAAGGCTGAATTTCCTTCCTTTGCTTTCCTCGCTTCTGCCTCAAGCCAGAGAAGCCAGTTTTAAACCAGAGAAGGCTGAATTTCCTCCCTTTGCTTTCCTCGCTTCTGCCTCAAGCCAGAGAAGCCAGTTTTAAACCAGAGAAGGCTGAATTTCCTCCGGTTTGCTTTTTCCTGCTCCTGGATTAAAAGATCTACTTTCAAAGTAAAGACCACCCAATGAAACAGGAAACAACACTTTCAAACCATTAACGAAAGGATTTGGAAGTCTCAGAAGTTTCGGAAAGTTTGGAACATTTTTTTCTGTTAAAATTGAAATTGACTTTAGAATTTAATCACCAGCACCAAATGAATTTCGAACCAATTTTTTTTGGATCAAACAAGCCTATTGGATAAGCAAAAATGTTGGATAATAAGAAGGTATTGAGGAAAAGCCTATTAAACGTCAAATTGTGTTATGATTTTACAAATTAAGCCCCAAAACATCA